TATTCAATATTGTTTTATATTAAACACGTAATCTCTGATTACGCGTTACGCGTTACGCAAAAAATAACAGTGCATGGGATCACATCCTAATTCTTTCATGTTTTTTATGTTGGTGTTGTAAACGTGTAGGCAGGTGGGGCTGCGCCCCCCCTGCACCCCCCCTACATTCTAGCCTAACCCTAACCTTGTCACCAGAGCCAAAAATCCAGCCGGATGTTCGAGCAATGGTAAGCACGGAAAGGTTCTCTGTGTCCCTGAAGGAAGTGTTCCTGAAGGCACAGGCGGAACACGAACAAAAGGAGCTCCGAAGAGAAGCCACGCGTTGGTCGGAGCGGATCCTGGACGAAATCCTGGACAGAGTCAAGCACACGCTGGGCTCCTAAAAAAGAAAAAGAGACTAATTAGGCTTAAGCAGGATATTCGTATTCTCTAGTAATAGTTTTTGGTATGCGATAACCTAAAGTGTTATTTAATGTTTGTACTTACCCGCGGAAGAACAATTAGCGCGTAAGTTACCAGTCGAAGTATGGTAACGCTAATTTCGGGTTATCTAGTGTAAGCATATATTGTTAAACAATAAAAAACAACTCCTGTGTAACGGGAGCTATTGTTATGTATATGTTGACAGGTTTAAGAGGTTTGATACGCAACAAAAAGTACCTTGAGCAAAAGAAAGGGGTTGCGTTTGCGTTTTAGAGCCAAAGAGTAGGCTTAAGTTTTGTTTAGTTGTTTAAGGTGTTTTAGTTTGTTTTCTAGTTTTGCAAAGCACCGTTGAAGACGCTAATCTTAGTTTTAGAGTTTAATTTTGATTTTATTTTTTTTAAGGCCTGAAAGTGAAAGAGAAAGGCTGTGGTAGTGTGGTTAGCGTCGGTGTGTGTTTTGTGTTAGCGTAGGTCACACAGAGGCGACTTAAGTGGTGAAGTCAGGAGTTAAGGTTAAAAAACAAGTCGACAACAATCCGGCGAGTGTCACGAAGCTTAGTGGCATAAATAAAATCGTTATTCGGCATTATTACAACTTTGCGTAAAAGTAGCCATTAAGGAAAAGTTTTGTTATTTTGGCAAGCAGGGAGTTGAGTGAAAGAAGCTTGTAACAAAATTTTCCCTTAATCAACAACTTGAAATAATTAGTTAAGTTAATAAATTAAATGACCGGATTATTGTTTTATGGCCCATGAGGGTCGTAGTGGTGCAAAAAGATTCTCTTAACTCGCGCCTGTGTAAAAGTTCCCGTTTCTAGGGACTTTGTAAGTTGAACGCACCTAAAGGCGTGGTGTACACGTATCCGTGTGAGGCGAGCCTTTGGGCCAACAAGAAGAGACGACCATCTTGTCTCAGTAGTCGAACAGCGAAGCTCGTACGGTACGGATGGTACATCCAACACGCGTGCGAATAAAAAGTTTCGTAGACTCGGTCATTAACGTTAAAAACCGCAAACGTTGTTTATAAAATTTTGTGCGTTCTGTATCATTAATCACAAGTGGAATAAAGTGTTATACGTACTTATATATATATACTCGAAAAGAAACAAACTGTGAAAGTTATTTGTGCAAGTGCGCAATTATCCCTGCCAATTCTCAGGATACCGAGGGAGGCCCTACACCCCGGAGACGTATCAGAGGGGCAGCTACCCTTGTTGCTGGGGGTTCACAGCAGCTGGCGACCGTGATAAACTTCATAAGTAGTAAGTCCTTGACCATAATTACGCCTAACCCCGGTCACAACCTAACCTGTGTTACTACAATATCAATAGATATGAGTGAAAATTTTGCGAGGGGGAGTGCAGAAAGAAAAGTTTAGGTTAGGTTAGGGTTAGGTTAGATTTTAG